CTCCTCCTCCTCCTCCTCCTCCTCCTCCTCCTCCTCTGGCCGCGCGCCTGCTCCGGCGCCCACAGCGCTGCGCGCCGGCGCGGAGCCGGCCGAGCCTCCCTCCGCGGCCTGCGGCAGCGCAGGCGCGGCCTCTCGGCGGCGCGGCGCCGCGCCGCCAGGCTGCGCGCGGCGCGTTGCCGGCGGCTCCTCGTCGTCGTCGTCGTCGTCGTCGTCGTCGTCGTCGTCGTCGTCGTCGTCGTCGTCGTCATCGTCTCTGATCTCTCCTTCTCCCTTCTCCCTTCTCTTCCTCCTCCTCCTCCTCCTTCGTCTCCTCCGTCTCCGCCGTCTCCGCCGTCTCCTCCGTTCCTTCCTCCGTTTCCTCCTCCGTCTCCTGCTCCGTATCCTCCTCCGTCTCCCTGCGGTCCTCCTCCTTCTCCTTCTCCTCCACCTTCCCTTTTTCCCTCCGTCCCTCCCTCCCTCCCTGAGTTGCGCGGGACGCATTTGAGCACAGCCACTGAGGCCCTCGGTGGGAATCCCTATGGGGCCACGAAGCGCCGTACTGGGTGCGGAGGGCAGTGGAAGGAATGGGAGGATGGGGGAGGGGCGAGGAGGAGGAGGAACGCAGGGCGCTCTTCAAAACGAGGACCCAACACCACAGGATGGTTGGGAATGATCACCGCGGAACACCGAAATTTTATTACCTCCTGGGGGTTCTTATCAGGGGCATGGGGCAATTGACTGTGAACTATGCCAGGGCCAGAAAGTGCTGGCACGCAACGTTCACACTTCATGGATTGCCGTCTTGGGAGAAGACCCGCGGTGATGAGCATTGACGCCTTCCCAACTGACGGGAAGGGACTCCTGGGGGACTCCACCATGATCGTACAAGCCAGAACGGAGAAGGAGGAGGACAGAAGGAGGAAGCGAAGGAAGAAAAGTAAGAGTACTGTGCGTCCGCATGAAGACCTGCGATGATGAACATTGCCACCTTCCCAACTGACGGGGAAAGGACTCCAGGGGGCTCCACCACGATCGTACAGGCCGGAACGGAGAAGGAAGAGGACAGAAGGAGGAAGCGAGGGAGGACAGACGGAGGAAGCGAGGGAGGAGGAAGCGAGGGAGGAGGAAGCGAGGAAGGAGGACAAGGAAGAGGACAGAGGGAGAAAGCGAGGGGAGAGGAAGAAACCTGACTCCGTCCACATGTTCAGACATGATACCCAAGGCGGATGGCCCGAAACTGGACATCAGAGATATGCGCCGTAAAAATGAATACTCCGAGTTTCTTGATAAGCGTCGGGGGGGCGTCACCCCCGCCGACAGCCCCACATCGACCCCCGTCGCGGGCATCCACCGCGCGCCGAAGGCGCTCCGACCCCCGTCGCGGCGCGACGACGAGGCGAGGTTGACCCCCGTCGGGAGGGGTACCACCCCACGCTTATTAAGAAGCCTGGAACAACCGTCGAGCCATTCAGAAACCATTCGAATATGAGAAGCCGGCTTCAAAGATCGCCGTCTTGTGCGGCAAATGCCGAATTTCCCGTGCAGTCGCCTCATTACCATATCAGCCAGCGTTGACTCCAAATAGATTAGACGACTCAAATCAAGGAATCAGAGAAATCAAGCATGCTTGGAATCCGCAGCTCAGCCAGCAAGCAAGCGTGCAAGCAAGCTCGCAAGCAAGCGTGCAAGCACGCAAGCAAGCAAGCGAGCAAACAAGCAAGCAAGCAAGCAAGCAAGCACGCGTGCAAGCGCGCAAGCAAGCAAGCAGGCATAGGCATAGACGTAGGCATTGGACTTAGGGGGGAGGCATAGGCATAGGCATAGGCATAGCCATAGGAATTAGGGGGGGCACAGGAATTAGGGGGGGCAAAGGACCAATTAGTAGGGTTTGAGCTGGGACTCCTATAGGCCAAGCCTAATTGGAGAACGTGATCGGGCGTACTCACTGCTTGATGCTCCCCTCGGGAGCCAGAGGGAAGGTTACCCGGCGCAGAGCCTTCAGAGCACCGTGCTCGTCCCATTCCAGCTCGATGACGTCCGCCACCGCGCCCCCCCTATGGCACGTGGGGGCGCGGTAGGATGCCAAGTAACTCTCTGGTACGTGTGCGTTCCGTAATCTTCGACAGAGCTCCCCATCTACTACAACCCTCGTCAACATTAGCCAATAGTCGAAAGATCGTCCCAGACTATCTTTTATTGTTTAAAACTATGTTTGGATATTCCTCGTGTAGAGGGACACGCCCGACTTCATCCTACAACCCTCGTCAACATTACACTCAAAAGTGTCTTACGTGGCTGAACTTTTTGTGGGGAGATACTGGACGGAGTAGCGGCGACTGCGAGGTACTCGCATGCGCCGCCCCTCCAATGTCGGTCATCGTCGAGCTTCCGAGTCGTTCCCGGTCATACCACCTATGCCCTGGCCCCGACATTGGAGGAGCGTCTATCGACATTGAACGGCGCGCCGACATCGCAGGGGCGTGGTCGCCACTTTTGAGATTCACTTTGATGAGGATAGTAGCAGACAGACGAGTGCCCCTCAGTTCCCGGGGCCACGATTGCTCATCATTGATCAATATACATATAACGGCGCACCGGGTCCGGGGGCCCGGGGCCGGGACCCCGACCACAAATGTGCGCCCCGGGGTCCCGGAGGCTCGTCGGACCGCCGGACGCCGTCCAAGATCGTTCGCAGGCGGCTTCGGAACGCGCTCCGATGGCTCCAGATGCCTTCCAAGACGCCTGTCATGACACCAAGAAGGTCCCAGAAGCCTCCAAGACGCTCCGAGAGGCAGCCCAAGAGAGGCCCAAGAAGCAAAAATCGTGCCATTCCTATGGGAAAACGTATATTTTTCGCATGTTCGCCTCTTGGGCTTTCACCGCGTCCAAGACGGCCCAAGAGGCGCCCAAGACGGTCTACGAGGCCTCCGGGAGCGCTCCAAGGCTGCGCACGAGTGGCCCAGGACGGCCCCAAGACGGCCGAAGAGAGCCCCAAGACGAGTTCGAGAGGGGTCCCAGACGGAGAAAGCCAACCTCGAATTCCGAGCTTCCGGCCCAAGAGGCTCCAGGAGGCGCCAAAATGCCGCCAAGAGGCGCCAAAAGGCTCCCAAAAGCACCCCAAGACGTTCCGAGAGGCACCCCAAGAGAGGTCCAAGAAACAAAAATCGTGCCATTCCTATGGGAAAACGTATATTTTTCGCATGTTCGCATCTTGGGCTTTCACCGCGTCCAAGACGGCCCAAGAGGCCTCCAAGACGGCCTAGGAGGCCTCCGGGAGCGCTCCAAGGCTGCGCACGAGTGGCTCAGGACGGCCCCAAGACGGCCCAAGAGAACCCCAAGACGACTTCGAGAGGGGTCCCAGAAGGAGAAAGCCACTCTCGAATTCCGAGCTTCCGGCCCAACATATCCCAGGAGGCGCCAAAATGCCGCCCAGAGGCGCCAAAAGGCTTCCAAAATCAGCCCAAGACGTTCCGAGAGGCACCCCAAGAGAGGTCCAAGAAACAAAAATCGTGCCATTCCTATGGGAAAACGTATATTTTTCGCATGTTCGCATCTTGGGCTTTCACCGCGTCCAAGACGGCCCAAGAGGCCTCCAAGACCGCCCCAAGACGGCCCAAGAAGCTTCCAAGAGGGCCCCAGGACAGCCCAAGAGGGCCCAAAGAAGAAGGGCCCAAGATGGCCCAAGAGGGCCCCAAGACGGGCCCCCAAGACCACGAACCGCAAGCTCGAGCCTTCCGCCCCAAGAGGCCGCCAGGAGGCCCCAAGGAGGCCCCTCAAGAGGCCCCAGGAGACCCCCAAGAGGCCCAAAGGAGGCCCCGAGAAGCCCCAAATCGGCCCCCAAAATGCTTCGAACCTGCTTCCAGGAGGCCCCCGACAGGTTCAGAGGCTCCCGAGAAGCTACGTCAAACTCCC